GACTGTCACAGGTCGGCTCAGTAGATCGGGAGGTGAGCGAACACATACCGGCGTTCGCTCACCTCTCGATCCTGTCACGGCTCTCAGCCGTGACAGGGGAGGGGCTGGATATCCCCCCTCCCCGCTCCGATCCTCCAGCACTGACTGGTAGAACGGACAGGAGGACGCTAGTTTGTGTGCTCCCGTTACCCTAAGGAGAACTATGGGGAAAAGCCCTAACCCCATAGTTCGCCTTTAATTTACCATATTTCTTTTTTATAATTTTCTTTATTTTTTTACTTTTTAATCACCTTTTTATTTTTTTATTTTAACTATTATTTCCTATTATTTTAAAAAAATTTAAATTTGTATTTAATTATTTTTTATCAATTTTTTTCACTTAACTTTATTGCTATCACACAGGAGCTAACAAGCCTCTGTGTGATAGCATTTGGAGGTGACAGGTTCTCTTTATTGAACCTGTCACTTCCAATACAGGAGTTCTAGCACATCATTGTCATGGAACTCCTGTGACAGCTGAGAGGGGAAGGCTGCGAGTGCAGCTCTCCCCTCTCACTGTTTACATGGAGCAGAGTGGAGAACAGATGTTCTCTGCTCTGCTCCCCGCTCTCCATCCTGAAGATCTCTGGAGAGAGGTGGCCAGCGAGGAGAGAGGTGCACGGCGGCGGCTGGACGAAGCTGCAGTCTTATTACAAGTGATCTTGGCACATCACTTGTAACGAACAAGCGGCTTCCACGCTCTACATTTAGTCCTGCTTGCCCAAAGCAGGGCTAAATGTAGAAAACAACTACCCGCCCTGCGCCTGGAACTGCATGTCCTGGGCGTCGGGAGATTCTACACCCCTGCCTCCCCGGGGCCGGGCCTCAATGGCCTTGTGACAAATCCGGCCCTGCCTCCAGGGACAGCGCCTCCTCCCGACGGCTCATACGTCCCTACAGAATGCACTAGCTGGCAAAAGAAACTACTGATTACAGCGGGGGAAACTGGTATTTAACCCATTTGGCTGGTCATATGCTTAAAGCGGCTGGGGAGCAACACTGCAGTGGCATTTTGAGGCACGGGTCCCTGGAATGATAAATATAGAGCCTGTCGCTTAATGGGTATTGCTTTTTGGCTAAAGAGCAGCCGTAATCAACTACAGCAAAAAAAAAGTGAAACATGTCGTCCTTTTATCTAAGGAAAATGAGAAAAAAAGAGAATATTTTTTTTGACTATTTATAGCATTTTGTTGTTATTAACACATTAATGAGTACAAATGACATTGATTTATTACATATATGTGACAGCTGTTACTGTGCCAGGTCACTGGATATTTCCTCAAGGATTTTTCTGACAAACATCAAAAGTAATTAAGCACAAATGTCAACAAAGTCTTGAAATTAAGGATCTCATTTGTCACACACTATTTGCTAACTTAAAGGGATACTGCAGGCTTTTTTCAGGAACACATAAGAAAGGGATGAGTGTAATGCAAATGATCTTATTAATCAATGTTTACTATCTATCTATCCATCTCCTATCTATCTACCTATCTATCTATCTATCTATCTATCTATCTATCTATCTATCTATCTATCTATCTATCCATCTTCTATCTATCTATCTATCTATCTATCTATCTATCTATCTATCTATCTATCCATCTCCTATCTATCTATCTATTTATCTATCTATCTATCTATTTATCTATCTATCCATCTCCTATCTATCTATCTATCTATCCATCTTCTATCTATCTATCTATCTATCTATCTATCTATCTATCTATCTATCTATCTATACCTGCAGGCATATACTGTACATCTATATCTTGATATAGGGATATAGGGTGGTATTAGTACTTGATCCCAAAGTAAATGACTTAGTAATCCACATATGGGAATACTATATCCAAAGGTGGAATAGGGGATTTGGTTTTTCTCATCCTGCTTTGGAAGTTTTATGAGTGTCTAACCTACCCTTGGCTCTCTCTCTTGTTCTCTCTCTAGATCAGTTATAATTGTTCTTGCTGCTTATTATTGTTGCACAGTGACCGTGCCTCACTTCTCTTCACTCTATGGGTAATTTCATGGGTCAGGTTTAATCTGGCTGAAAACAATACTCTTTCTATAGGGTGATCGGGTCTAAACATGTAGACAGTATGAATGTAATCATAAAGAACAGAGCGCCGCCTCCGTGTTTGAAAACTTTACTTTGAATAAATAGAAATAGGTATTATTATTATTATTATTATTATACAGGATGTATATGGTGCCAGTAGTTTGCGCAGCGCTTTACAATATAAGGAAGACATTACAATCACAATACAAATCAAGACAAGATGGTAAGGAGGGTCCTGCCCCTGAGAGCTTACAATCTAAAAGGGAGGGGCAAGTGATACATGAGGAGGTAGCTGTGTGGGGATGAATTGTTTGAGAATGTGATGGTTGAGTGGTTAGGTTGAGGTGGGATAGGCTTCCCTGAAGAGATGAGTCTTAAGGGATCACTTAAAGGCAGTCAGAGTGGGAGATAGATGGACAGGTTGGGGTAAAGAGTTCCAGAGGATGGGAGAAACTCTAGAGAAGTCCTGGAGGCGAGCATGAGAGGAGTTGACGAGGGGGCTGGAAAGCGGGAGGTCTTTGGAAGAGCGGAGGGGACGGTTAGGGTGATACTTTGAGACAAAGTGTGAGATATATCCGGGGGCAGAGTTGTGGATGGCTTTGTAAGTGGTTATTAATATTTTGAATGTTATCCTTTGGGTAATTGGAAGCCAGTGCAGGGATCGGCAGAGGGGGGTTGCAGAAACTGAAGGGTTGGTGAGGTGGATGAGTAGTCTTGCAGCTGCATTCATGATAGACTGAAGGGGGGATAGCCTGTGCAGATGTCGGCCAATGAGGAGGGAGTTGCAATAGTCAAGACGAGATATAACAAGGGAGTGGATGAGTAATTTTGCGGTTTCTTTGGTGAGGAAGGGGCGTATTTTGGAGATGTTACGAAGGTGAAGGCGGCAGGATTTGGATAGTGATTGGACGTGGGGAAGAAAGGTGAGGTCTGAGTCAAGGATAACACCTAGCACCTTGGCATTGGGGGAGGCTTGTATAGTTTTGTTATCAATCTCAAGGGAAAGTTTGGGGAAGGAGGAAATATCATGGGCTCAGTTTTTGAAAGGTTGAGTTTTGAGAAGTGTTGCGACATCCAGACGGATATGTCAGTTAGTAGATTAGTGACACGAGAGGACACTGAGGGGGAGAGTTCTGGAGTAGAAAGATAGATTTGAGTGTATATGTATAGGTATATGTACTCACGCTTGTCATAGTCACACTGAGGCCTCATTCACACAGCTTAGAGTCGGCCCGTACAGATCCGTGCGGCGGCCGCATCGGGCCATTCCCAGGAAGGACAGGTGCTGCGTGTGATTGTACGCAGCACCCTGTTCTTCTCTATGGAAGGACGTGGCCATACGCTGTTGTTCGCTCACCAGAGCTGCACATCCATGCGGGTGCGGGTGTGCGTACTCGGACGCAGACAGGATGTATCTTGCCTGCGTCCAAGCAGTGACGCGCGCACCCGCACGGATGTGCAGCTTGGGTGAGCGTACATCAGCGTACGGTCGCGCCCCCCCATAGGGAAGAACAGGTTGTGGCGTACAATCACACGCAGCACCTGTCCTTCCCGGGAACGGCCTGATACAGCCACATGGATCTGTATGGCCGACTCTAAGCTGTGTGAATGAGGTCTAAAGATTTAGAAGGAAGTGATCCATCCTGCCTGAATACAACAGCAGCCTCCATGTCACATCAAACATGCCACCGGTTGCTGTAAGCTTGGTATACGCGTTTCAGGGACACACACCGTTCCTTAGAACCATAGCTTGCTTTGCCAGAGAGCTGGGTTTAAGATAAAAAATTAGCCAATCAGAGGAGATTTCCTTTATGACTTGTCGTGAAGTGATCGCATCATACCATTCTAGATGTGTCAGGGAGTCATCCGTCAAAAAAGTATGTGTATGATGGGCGTCCCTGATCCCTTGGATGAGCAGCCCCCCAAGAGTGTGAAGAGTGTGGAGAGTTGTGACTGCGGGAGGCTTATTGACGGCAACCGTTTAGCTAAGAGAGACAAAAAAACATTTTTTTCTTTGTATGAATGTAATCCCATCATCACAAATGACCTTCCAATTTTTACACTGGAAGTTGCATTTTTTTTAAATATTATAAAACTGTTATTGCGTTTTTGTCTTTAGGTTTCAGAAGAAATAAAGCTGTGTGAAGGAGAGGAGTGTGCCTACCTCAGAAATCCCAGGAAAAACCTGCTAAAGAACATACTGGTAAGATGCACCCAGGAGGTGTAGGTGGAAGAATGTAAGAGTTGATGTTCTGTGCTGCTTTAAAGGATCCTGGGGACTGGGCCGCCATGTTTGTATCTGGTGCCAATGAGCCATGCTCGCTTCCCACCTTGCTGCAGGAGAGAAGTATGTAGGCGGGGTTCACTCTCGGGGTGTTGCGTGTGTGTTCCCTTTGGGTTGGCTCTGGTAACCCTGTGGATGCAACACGACACCAGGCACCCCACACGTGTAGTACTGCGCACACAGGGCCTCATGGCTTCAACCGCCTCTGCGGTATTCTGCGCTTCCTCCCCCGTAGGGAGAAAGGCCACCATGACCGGCACCCTGTGTTGGGCATAGCCCCTTTGCACACCTACCCTCCTCAGGATGGTTACAGCCACGATACAGTCCAACATCACACTCTGGAAGAACCCCACCTTCTCAGAGGTTGGAGGGAGAAGAACCAGTCCACACAGATAGTCTTTTCTTGGTTTTACTTGAAGGTATTAACAGAACAAAGCATACGTTCAGCCACCGTCGAATGGGATGACGGCACAGTTCTTGATAGTTGCATAGTGATACATTTTAGAGAGAGAGAAGAATAGCCCAGGTGCAGCCCAGAGTCCACGACTTACTTCGGCCAAAGGAATGGCAAACATCGTCAGTCTTACAGCTTCCCATTATTCTTCGGAATCCCATCCTTGTCAGTCCTATTTCGGTGGTTTCCCCCTCCAGGGGAAACTGGGGAATCTATATAGCTCTACATAGTCCTAGGCCTGGTCCTGTCCTTCCCATGAACCAGCCTATGTTTTAGAATCAGTCTTCCTCCGGAGACTCTGCATACAGCCTTAGACTTCTGCTCTCCTGTACTGCTCTGCACGGAACTCTCCTCCCCTCTCGGGCGCCCCCTATAAATCAACTCTCCTGGGACACAGAGTCTCCCCAGGCCAGAGCTACATCTATCTCCAGGGCCCCATGGGGGCATCTAGTGGCCGTTGGCCATACTGCACCTACCTACAAGTACCCAAGAAAACAAGTTATAGCTTACCAAATGAGTCATATCTTTGCAATTTTCCCTTGTAATGGTGTGGGAGTCTCTACCACTAGTTGTCCCCACCTGTCCTTAGTTGGAATAGTTTTTTTAGGGGAAGCTCTTCCCTTTGGTTCTATATATAGGGGGAGTTAGGCACGGCACCAGTGTGCCTTCTGCAATAGACTCTGGGTGCCATCTTGGGAGATCCTGTGTCTGATTAAGGCAGAGTTCTTTTGAGATTTGGGATGTCATATTTGAGACAGAGGGGTTATCTATAGCCCCTGATGTGTCATTTTGGGGACCCACAGTGTGGGAGGTACAGGTAGGTATAGATACCTACTTATGTTTAGCATAAGGGACAGGTTCCTGACAAGGAAAGATAGTTTAGGAACCCTCCCAGACTCTCTTAGAGACCTCATAGTGTCCAGAAAAAGTACACTTCCAAGTGTTCCAGCTAATTGGACTGGCACATTTCTGTGCACTGCTCTGTTAGGGCAATATCCCTTTGGGAAAGTCACCCCTAAGAAGCTTTACATGTACACATTTAAGGAAGCACACCTCAAGCACCCACCTGTATGCAAGCTCTGCATTGTTGAACTGCCTTGTGACTGATCAGCATATGACCCTGACTGTATAGAGGTAAACTCTGGAGAAGAAAGAATGCACTGTTGTAACTGCTCCTTACTTGCAATAAAAAAGAATATTTAACCCCTTCGTGACTGACGACGTACTGTGTACGTCGCCAGCATCGGGGCTGTTTAAACAGACTCCCGGCGACTTTTGCCGCCGGGAGTCTGTTTAAACTTGTAGAGCCGACTGTCGGCTTTACAACAGAAGCGAT